GGACCAGTCACAATAGGGTGCTTTTGCCATTCCCTCCCAGTCAGGCTGATTTCAGCCTCCAGCACAGTCAACTCTTGGGATCCTCCTGTCACTCCAGAAATATGGATGGTTTCCACCCTTTGACAGCTTGATGGCATCAGGGTACACTGTGCACCGGTATCTACTAGAGCCTTATACTTCTGTGGGACTGATGTGCCAGGCCACCTGATCCACACAGTCCAGTAAATCCGATTGTCCACTACCTCCACCTGGCTGGAGGCAGGGCCCCTCTAATGGTCATCACAGCGTTGGACACTTAAGTCGTGTTGAAAGGGATTATTCTTCATTATCACAGGAGCTGGAGTAAAATCAGCTCTTCCATTCCATCTCGGAAACTGCTCACCAGAGACTGAAGACGTAACTCTCATGGGACGATCAGTCTTGGCCCTTGCTCCCCTCTTTAGTTCACTCACCCCTTCCTCCAAAGCTGAAGTAGGTTTTCCATCCCACTTTGTCATGTCTTCTCCGTGGTCCTGCAGGTAAAACCATACGGTACCCCGTGGTATATACCTCCTGTATCTCCTCTCTCAAACAATAGGACGCCTTTTGTTAATAGCTGAGACGTGTGTTGGTACACGTGAGGAGCTGGATAAATCAGATAGATCGTCCCTCAATTGTTTGAGGTCCTGGGGCAGTTTTTCCACAGATGAAATGATAGAAGGGGTGAGGTTGTCTTCGAACTCTCGGAGTTTATGAACCCTTTCATCCACTGTTAGTGGTACTATGTCATTCCAGGCTACTGCTGCCAATGAATGGGCATATGATGACGGTGCATTCCGTGTAAGTTTTTGCCACATGGGTCGTGTACATTCAACTTCATCTGGATCTATGGGTGTATCCCCGTTATTCGGCTTGATGTGATAGAGCATCTCTACGATGGCTGATTCCCTCAGAGACTGGATGCCTTTGTCTATAGTAGCCCATTTGGCCGAACGACTCATAACATCGTCCTTCTATGGAAACCTTTCTTTCACAGCTGCCAAGAGCCGCCTCCAAAGGCTGAGGGACTTTTTCTCTCTTGCAATTGCTTTGTCAATTCCTCCTTCTCTAGCAAGTGATCCCAGCTGCTTGGCTTCTGTACCTTCTAGTTCGTGACCATCGGCCCCATTGTCCCAGCATCGGAGTAACCAGGTGATGATGTGCTCCCCTGGTTGACGGGTAAAATCTTTTCGCATATTCCATAGCTCGGTTGAAGTCCGAGGTCAAGAAGTTACCTCTTCTTCTTCTTCTTCGTCATGTGATGATGACTCCTGATCAGATTCTGGACCAGGTGGTGAATTCATTGTTTCTTCATCTCACTTCACCCTTCTTACCTCTTTTTTGCTTGTTCTCTTGCGTACAGGGGCAACCGATATTGGTACGAATTGGTCCTCTGGTTTGGCTGCAGTGGTTATCACTGTGGTTTGAGTAACGGTGGTGTAGCTGTTGTGCTTGGAGCTGGGGTAGCCGCGCTGTCTGTTGCAGTTGAAGTTTGAGCAGCTGCTGTACTTGCCGCTGGGGTAGCTGTGCTGTTCATTGCAGCCAAAGTTTGAGTAGCGACTGTACTTGTCGCTGGGGGTGGTGAAGCTGCTGTTCCTGGAGCTGGAGTAGCTGCGCTGACTGCTGCTTTGCCCTCAGATCCGCCGACATTCTTTTCCTTTTGAAGGTGCTGGATAGTGTTGAACAAGGCTCTGTAAGCATAGGCCAAGCCCCAGCACGTTGCCATGATTTGTCCATCTCTGGTATGGCCAGAATGACCACACACCTCATTTAAGTGTTTTACTAATTGTCGTGGTTTAAACCCAGTCAGGTAATTCGTTCGCTCACTTCCCCCCCCCTTTCTTGCCCTCCCCCTGCTCTCGGAGGGATGGAGAGGAGAATCGAAAAGAATGCAACTCCCACGGGTTGAGATAAGAACAGTTTAGTAACTAAGGTATAACACAAACCACTACTGCTACCACCAATGATAATAATGATAAAGGAAATAACAAGGGAACAGAATACAACACCTCACCACCCACTGACCGATAACTCGCCCCCCAAGCCCGACCAAGCTCCGACCGATACCTCCTCCAACCCTGCAGTCTCCCAGCCCTTCCGGCTAACTCCCAGTTACCTCCTGGGCATGACGTGCTGTGGTATGGAATAGCTCTTTGGTCAGTTTGGGTCAGGTGTCCTGTCTCTGCTTCCTCCCAGCTTCCCCTCCTCCCTGTCAGAGCATGAGGCTCACAAAGTCCTTGGCCAAACCAAAACATCTCTATCAGCTCTGTTCCCGAGCCGAAAGTCAAAACACTGCACTGCACCAGCTACCAAGGAGGAGAAACATGACTGCTACTGCTGAACCCAGGACACTAATTCTTCTGGATTTTGCAGTTGTTCGGTAGTGAAATTCCAAAGCACTGGAGGGGCCCACTGACCTAGATACTTGCCCATACTATCCCACACACCCTGCCACTCATGGCTGTCCAGCCTCAGGGAAAATCTCTTGGTCCTCCTACATCGTCATTTGACCCCAGACAAGACCCAAACCTGACTCTGCTTAACTCTTGAAATCAGTCGTGGGCAAAACACACTCTGTATGCGTGCTAGCATGGTGATTCCCATCACCATCAGCAAACAAGTCTCAAGAGCATTAAAAGGCCATTCAAAAAATTCAAAACTCTCAAATGTAAATGGTCTGGGGGGACGACTAGGAGGGTAAAAGGATGTCTCCTTCACAGGTTGAGCACCTGAGAAGGAGAAAAAAGATGTGTAATTGCTAAGCACTTCTATTATATACCTCCCAACATATAAAGGTGGTGACCACACTGGGAACATAAGCCAGATCAGTTTCATGATCAATGATTCTATTGTATTACAAGTCATTACCATTAAGTACAATGAGACAAAAACCTTAGCCCAAGCCCCACACTTGAAAAACACTAATACAGCAAATACCGGATGGAAGTAAGATATGATACACTGAAACTGTGAGATCAAGAGGAACAACCTTGAGAGCCAATAAATCAGCATTGTGACGAGTTACTATTAATCCGGTCAGATCTGTCGTGCCCCAAGTTGGGCGCCAAAAAGAACTGTCATGGTTTAAACCCAGTCAGGCAACTTGTTCACTCACTCCCAGTGAGTGGTGCCGGGCTGACAACAATCGAGCCCCCCCCCCCCCCCCCCCCCCCGGGGCTCTCCCCTTCCCCGCTCCTGGAGGAACAGGCAGGAGGATTGAAAGAGTGCAACTTGTACGGGTTGAGACAAGAACAGTCCAGCAAACAATGTACAACACAGATCACCACCGCTACTACCAACTACAACAATGATAAGAGAAAATAACAAGGGAAGAGAATACAGTGCCACCGGCCAAGAAACGAGTCCCACCTGGAAGCCCGTGTCCTTCCGGGTAACTCCCAGTTAACCCCCACCCCGGGCATGACATGCTGTGGTATGGAATACCTCTTTGGCTAGCCTGGGTCAGGCGCCCCGTCTCTGCTTCCTCCAGGCTTCCCCTCCTCCCTGGCAGAGCATGAGCCTCACAAAGTCCTTGGTCATGGTAAACATCACTTAGCAACAACTGACAACATCGGTATCACCAGCACTGTTCCCAGTCTGGAAGTCAAAACACAGCACTGCACCAGCTACCACGAAGGAGAAACATCACTGCTACTGCTGAACCCAGGACACCTTGGCTCCCTAGAAGTCAGTGGAGATTAATGAATACTTCCAGGGTTAGGTTCATTTCACTTCTCTTAGACAGCTGCTTTAGGATGAGACAAATTGCACTTTAGACTCTACTCATTATGTTGACTGCATCTCTGCTGACTGTGAATGGAGCCCAGGGCATAGACACACCCTTGATGAATTCCATCCTTTCCTTTTCCCATCATCTGCTCCAGGTACATCATATCTGAGCACTGACTGAAAAGAAGTTACTGATTATTAAACATGCAGTAAGACTGATAAACAACAAGAAAATTTTAGAGAAAGAGAACTGAGGTAAGAATCTGGAGTGGGATTTCGGGGACTGCACTGAACTTCAGTAAGCTGTTTTTTAAAGGTTCCTAACAAATGCTGAGTGTTGACAGCCAAATACATTGTTAATTCTCAGGTCCTATTTTTTTTTTTTTTTTTTAAGCCACAGGTACACAAATTCTCAGCTGTTCACCAATAATAATTTTAAAAGCTGTGGGTTTTTCACTGCATGGTCAGGCAGATGGCAACTTGTAAAGCAAGAGCTAAGCATGACTGCTACTTAGAAAGACTGTTGTCCAACGTTTAATCTGGGCAGCAGCTGTATAAAATCTGAGGAAATTTGAAATAAGCCTACATCAAATGGATAACAGGGGGGGTTGGACTAGTATTAGACTAATCAATTCAAGTATATTTACATGGTCTCTAAAGCCAGGACAGAACTTGGCCTTGCTGTACAGTCCTTAAAGGACATGGTAAATACTATGATCTCAGCAACAGGGCACTCTGTACCAGATTCAGAATTGTAAGTGTGAAGACCAGACTAAGGCATGTGTTTTAGGACATGTGAGTAGGGCTAAAGAAGGTGTATGTACACTTTACTAGGGAGGATAGCTTGCTTCTGTCCTCACTTTATTTCTCCTATTTCTCACTTTAAAAAAAACTAGATCTAAACTCAAAAGCATCTTCTGTGACTTGAAGGGGTAAACGCCATGACACTAACAGGAAGGAGGGGTAAACACCATGACACTAACAGGAAGGAGGGGTAAACATCATGACACTAACAGGAAGGAGGGCTTGTGAAGTTTCCATTCCGCACCTGATTTTAATCAATGGCCAATCAGCAGAGCTTATGGTGCTGTACTAAAAGACTAACTGAAGCCTGCTACAAATTCGGAAGTCTGCAGCAAGTTTCTCCTCTGTTGTGAACTGTGTGTCTGCTGTAAATTTTGACGGTGATCATTTAATGGAGTAAAGAGTAAAGGTTTATTAGTTTGGTTGCAGTCGTACGTTAAAACAAATACCTCACTTTGGATATCCAAGTATCTCTGAATCACCATGTGTACCAGCTTTGCTTCAACTCCAGTATGTAGCATGTTTACAAATTTTATATGCACTCAGCATCTGGATAAAGCTATATGTCCATTGCTTTCCAAGAACCAGAGCTGTGAATCGTCTCCTGAGATTATAAGAAAAAATCAGGTCAGTCTTTGAAAGAAAGAAGAAAAAATAAATAGCATCACTGCTTCCTTTTGTTTCCTCCTTTATTTACTCAAAAAATAGCCCCAAATTAAGAGATGTCTTTCAGGATTTGGGAGATCCAGTTTTAAACCAATTTTTGTCTCAGGTGACTAGAAATCACATCCCTTGCCTACCAAATTTGCCCTAACCACAGAACTATAGAATACTTTGAGTGACAACTCTGTTTCTCTCCTGTGAAAATTTTGGTTAGTGAAGGTTTATTGCCAATACATTCCTTGGCACAGAATAGGCTGTAAGCATTGTATAACCTGCTCATTAGAGTACATCCTGCACCCAGAGCAGACGTGGATCTCAGAACCTGCTTCATATATTAGATGAGAACATAGATTCCATCAAACACCAATTCAGGTTAGAAGACAGCACTGACACAGCATATCCAGTGTGACTGAATTCCTTGTAATAAGCATAGGAGTATAGTTCCATCAAATAATTCAGGCCTCAAAAATAAACAAGCAGCAAAGGTAAAATTAGTAACTTTTATAGTATTAATATAGCAGTTTTCCATCAATACAAAAGGTAGAAAGGTGGTTCCTTCAACCTCAAAGCCAAATGCACAAGATTTCCCTCCTAAAAACAGTTCAGGATACATTAGAAGTTGAATTGAAAGCTTTAGAAGCAATTTGAAAAGCATAATCTTCACAGGGTACACATTAAGTAAATGATTCTTTATGAGAATTGACTGAAAGACAGATTTCTCATGGCAGCATACCTGCTCATGTTTCCTTTGAACATAGTTAAGTCCAAAGTGCTTGAAAATTCTGATAGGACAACGTTATCAGCTAGGGGCAAAAGATCTATATAACCTCTACTTTGTAGATTTCATCAACCTGATTAGAAGAAATAGGACCATAGCTAACAGATCTAGCAACAAAGCTACTGCCTGTGGACTGGTGATCAAATAGGAGGTAAAAAACAGACAGAGGACAATAGAAAATTCTCATATGCAACAAGAAATTTACATCAAAGTTGAGAAACTCGAATGAGTGGATTCATTCAGGTATCTCTGAATTACCATCACAAAGGAGAGAAAGTCTGAAGCAGAAATCAAAAGCAAAATTGCTTTTGTGATAGCAGCACTTGCAAAATTCAACAGAATCTGACAAGACAAGAATATGTCAAGTGCATCAGTGGTAAAACTCAGAATAATTGAGTATGCCATCAAAGCCTAAACATACATGAAACATGGACTCCAGCAGTATGGATCAAATGACACATTCAGGCCTTTACATTCAAATGCCTCCAAGTAAATATATGAATAACATATACCATATAGGACTAACAACACTATTAGAATGGATATTTCTGCAATAATTACATCCCATGAGTCTGTGCAAGCAATTGCAAAAAAAGGCAGCTGCTGGGATGGCTTCACCATGTGGGGAGAGCAACAGGCCTTGCAAACACAACACATCAGACAAAAGTCAAAAAGTAGAGGGAAGAAGACTCCCAGGGACCATACAAAGTGAAGATGGCACAAACCCCATGCATCTGGACAAGGAAATTAGAGGCAATTGGACAGTATCTCCAAGCTTTAAGGTCATCTTTTAAGGTGGTATTGCCCCAGCATCAATTATTACTTAAACACATTATACTTAAACTATACACTTCTGAATTAGTTTAAAAGTCTGTTTCAGCTTAACTGTTGGTACACCTAAATACATAATTCTTCCATATATATATATATATATAGGTACTTCCATGTATATATAGCTACTGGGAGCCAACCAGCTTGTCCTTGATTTTGAGCAAAACAGTAAGTTGTACATGTCTTAAGGTTACTGCAAGCACTTTACTAAGTCATTGAGTTTTGCTTCTCTCTTGACTGTTTCTGTAGCAGTTATACTACAGTAGTGCTGGTCACAGACTCAAAGGTGAACTGAGTAGTCATCTGTCTTGACAGAAGTTGAAAACTCCTTTGAAAAATGGCACTGTTAAAAAATAGCATTTGTTTGTATATTTTCTATCAACGGACCCTAAATTTATCATTTACTAAATTAATTTACTAAACCCTAAATTTACTGCAAGAAATTCAAGTTTAAATACAGCAGATAGATTGAACAAAGTCAGATGGGCAGGTACAGTAATCCAACTATGCCAATAAGCAGTGGGCCCAATATATCTGTGCAGCTGAGCTGTAATGTATATTCATCATGATGAGACAGAAAGGTAGTATTGCTTTGGGTTGTACTGTAGGTCAGACACTATTCAGACACCATTTAACACACTATGATAGTTCTAAGCCATACAGGAGAGGCCCAACCTATACCCACCAGTTCCTTCTGCTTTTTTACCATGATAATGAGAGCAGCACTTGGCAAAGCCACTATTTGTCTCAGAAGTGACAACAGTTTCCCAGACTGCTCTGTCTGAATTTCTGGTCCACTGGTAAGTATTACTCTGAATCTGAATAAAGCATTAAAAGAACAACTCCATCTGACATTTTCCACATAAATAGCTTGGGTAAGTTATTTATTGTCTCACAGAATCCTGTCATGGGTAATGTCAGTGATTAGCTAAGATGATCCCTTGGTACTCTAGCAAAAGGTCTGACTGCCTAATAGGAAAGCATTCAAACCTATGTCATGGACATTGATTATTCCACTTAAGAACAAGCTTTCACAGCTTCAAAGTATTCCCCACTGCCAGGCTACTGCCACTTTTTCCAGAAAATTGATTATCTCATGATTTACTCCTCGCAATAATTATTAGTCCCATTGGGCCTGACCTGTACTGCCGTACATATCTGAAGAGCATTTAAGATTATGTTGTGAAAAAATAAGGAAATAGATGTACAACCTACTAAGTTCCTTTCAGCATTCAACAGGTGTCCCATGCTGGACAGTTAAAAATCTCTGACCAAAAGGGGTAGAAACAGGAGGATGCGGCAGATTTAAACCGGTCATTGTGGGCCATTAACAGTCATTTGCCGAGGTGACTCCAGAGAGGAGCCTTCAACCCCGGAGCGAGGGGAAACACCGCGTCCTGGAGCCTCAGTTCTGAGCGGCGAGAGCCACCGAAGGACCCTCAAGCCCCCGCCAGGCCTTGCCCAGGAGCCGGCAGCTCCGCTGAGGTGAGCAGGGGCTCCCAGGGGACGGTGCCAGGAGGGAGGCCCCGCCCTGAGCGGAGCAGGAGCGGTTGGCGCGGCGGTTGGAGCCAGCAGCGCGAGCAGCAGTGAGCGGGATGGGGAGCGCTCGGCTCAGGACCAGGGTCCGACCTGGGAGCTCTGCTCTGGCTGACCCGGCGGTGGCAGCGTCGGCACCAGACAGAGCCGATGAGAGGGGAGGCTGCAGGGCGGAGCTCGGGGTGCGGAAAGTGCCTGCACCGGTCTCCTGAGGCGCGGGTGCGCAATGGGCAGGGCTGCACTCGGTGCTCCCTGGTGAAGGTCTTCCCACAGCTGGGGGCTGAGCTGCGGCACACTGTCAGTCGCTCAAAGGTGTCAGGGGAGCTGAGCCGGAGCTGAGCCTTGCTCCAGGCCTAAACTGTTCAGGGGCCATAAGTGTCCACCGTAGAGCATACAAAACACTACTCCCCCAAATACTAGTTTTTAAAAATGCCTGAATTGCTGCTTTTGGAGAAACAACCTAACACAAGAGTCTGAGGACAACAGCACTGCATCAGGCGTCCATCTGACCCAATACTCTCTCTCCAGTAGCACTCCATACATGTCTGAGGGAGCATATATGAGGAGAGCAGGTCTACCACTGTCAGGGTCCAGAGGGTGTTCGTAGGCCTCAGTGCCTGGGACCGGCCTCCCCTGGGACCTGGACTGCAGATGGCCCCTCAGACCTAGGTCAGAGCTTGTCATGCAGAACTATATGCGTAACATATCATAGAATCATAGAATCATATCATAGCTGTTCTGTTCTACTCTATTCTGTTCCATCCCATCCCAGTGCATTCCATTCCATTTCATTCCATCCCATTCACTTCTGTTCCATTCCATTCTCTTCTGTTCCATTCCACTGCATCGCATCCCAGCCCATTCCATCTCATTCTAACCCATTCCATTCCATTATATTCCCTGCACTCACAGTGAGTTGTATAATGATGTGACCATTCTTTACTTGAAATGCCAAGGCTTTCAGCACCAAAACCACTTTCCATGACACAAATCAGACACAAGTCAGGTCAGAGATGGAAAGAATATTTTATTCATCTATAAATAATTTTATTTAACTTAGCTTAGTTTAGTTTAATTAATTTTAGTCTAGTCTAGTTTAGATTATCTTCTTTTTCTAAATCTCTCAGCTGATGCCCACAAGCATTAACCCGATGCCCTTGTGTAGCCAGCAGCAGGCTGGCGCACCCTTCGGTTTAGCTTGAAACAACATCCCTTGCAGCCTGATAAATGCAAAGGCCAGGACAGGAGCGGTGCCATGGTGGGGCAAGAGCAGTGCAAGAACCCAGCCAGAATGGGCCAGGGAAGACCTGACAAGGGGGGTGCTCAATGCTACAGAGAGAAGCAGCAAGTCCCGGGGCCATGCTGGGGCCACCCTGGGAGCGCAGAAGGCTTCTTCCCCCTGGATGCGGGGCACGAGGGCCACCTGCATGGAGCACGAGCAGCTGCCTTTGGGCTACCAATAACCCAAAGGAGCCCCATGGAGGGGCTGTGCTCTGCTGCGGAGGAGGCAAAAAACCCCGGGGACACTTGCTAGTCCACCTGGGGGCAGAAAAGCCTCCCCCTCCCCCCGCTGCAGGACATGGCGCATGAGCCCCAGGTGATAACGCAGAGCACCAAGGACCAGAGGAGCCCTGACAAGTAGTCATGCTCAGTGCTCAGAGGAAGGCAAAAAAAAACCCGGGGACCAGTGACAGTCTGCCCCAGGGGAAAATTCCTTCCTGACCCCAGTGCTGGCAATTGGCTTCTCCCTGAGCACGTGAGCAAGACCTGCTCCCGGTCCACGGGCTGGTTATGCATCTGAGGGGACAAGGGGACGCTGGCACTGCCTCTTCTGCCTCCACCTGGAGCCATCTCAGGGGCTTCCAACAACAGCAAAATGCCACTGGCCTGATCTAGCCTAGGAGCAAGAGCCCTTTCAGTGCCTGGCACTGGAGCTCCAAAGCACTGGCGCAGGGCACTGGGCTTTATAGTGTCCCAGAGCACTGTGATGCTGCTTTGCCAGGTGCTGGCACTATGACACAGGGGTGATGGGGCCTCCTCAGCCCTTCCCACCACAGCCCTGCTGCTGCTGCCCCTTCGCCCAGCATGCCTTGGAGAAAGGCCTTTGGGGTGCTGGCCCTGAGGCAGTGCCTGTGTCCAGGAGGCCCAGGGGGATGTCCCGGCCCACGGTGGCCACAAACTGGGAAGAGCTGCAGAGTGTCCCTGTAAATGAATCCCTGTGTCCAAATGTATCAATAAAGGCTTTTTTATCACAGTCATTTTAGTGTGGCAATCCCAGAGGTCAAAGAAAGAAAGGGGTTTTAGTTCCCTCTGTATGAACTTTGCAGAAACATAGCAGACAGGATTTCCTCACCCTTCCTTACCAGTACACCAAGTGCCATTTGCTACTATGCTGCTTATGGTGAGGTCTTCTTGTTGGAAAGAAGAAGAATTTCAGAAATCTGCATTTGTTTCTTGGAATGTTTAGATATTTGCTTGTGTTTATTAACATTCGTGTGTCTAGTTTGAGGGTTTACCTCTTGTATTACTGCTTGAGTGCAACACTTCACTGACTGCTGCCTAATTCTGTGTTCTCGATGTCTCAATAAAGTGTTTTGATCCCAATTTGATTTAAACATGTGAACTGAGCAGCTTTTCCCTGCAACACTTAGCAAAACAAGGAACTGACTCAGCTGTGTCAAAGAGTTTTCAAACCCTCAGCTAAGCATCATGTAAGGGTACTGTATAGAGGGCAGAGATTGAGAGATTGGCCACAACTCCCCCCAGCACATTTATCCAAACCCTTGAAACGCAGCATGACCTCTGGTCTCTCTCCCATGGGCTGATTTCTTGCATGGTCTGGAGTGAGGGGGGAAAGGAACAGTCACCGAGTTTCTCATTGGAGATGTTGGTGCAGGCTGCAGAAGGCAGCCCCAGGTGGGTTCCTGTCTGAATTGAGGAAATTCTTGTGTCTGTCTGAACAAACTGCTCTTTTAGGCAAAACACCTATGTTTTTCACATACAGGAGGAGAAAACGCTACTGCCTCTGCCCACCTCTGGTAGAAAGTGAGCATAATCACCTCATGGAAACAACAAGGAAAAACCAATATACACAAACAGAAACACACCCTTCTCTATCTATTGCTATCTCATCTCTAGCTCTGTATCTCTACACCTATATCTACACCTCTGTCTCTCTCTACCTAACTCCTGGGTTAGGGCAAATAAATCCTCACACAACAGCAGTACCGGTAACTGAGGGCATGTGCTGAGGACACTGGAGTGAAACCCCAGAGCTGCAGCCAAGGCAAAGGGAGACAAGCTGGAGGGAACTGCAGTGACGATGCTCGTGCAAAAGCTTTCCTAAGCGAAGGCAGGAAACAGGAGAAGCTGTGCAGGGACAGCCTGATGCCAATTCACACGGTGTCCTGAGCTGGTACCAAAAGGGAAGGATGGGCTCTAGAAGGAAAGGATCAAGGAACAGTGACCTCCCTCCCTAGACAGGAGAAGAGCATAGGAGGCAATGGATTGAAATCTCTTCTCTGTGTTACAGAAACACACTGCATGCTTGGTAAAGGGAAGTACTGACGAGTTTTGCTCTGCCAGGCAAAGGACTGATATCCTTTGGCACAGGCTGGCACGGCCATTCATGGGCCTCAATGCCAGTCCTGTACCCGTGGTCCTTTACAGAAAAATGATTCTTTACTGTGAGGGTTGTGAGGCACTGGAATGGGTTGCCCAAGGAGGTTGTGAATGCTCCATCCCTGGCAGTGTTCAAGGCCAGGTTGGACAGAGTCTTTGGTGACATGGCTTAGTGTGTGGCATCCCTGCCCATGGCAGGAGGAGTTTAACTAGATGATCTTAAGGTCATTTGCAACCCAAATCATTCTATGATTCTATGACAGTTTCCAATGGTCTGAGAACTAATATTAAGATTTCACACCACATTTTCTCTTAACCATCCCACATACAATCTACCTGCAATCCATGATGGGAGAGGCTCGTTAAGACTGTATCCATCAATGCACAGAAAGCCTGAAAAGGAAAATACAACTTTAAATAAACAAGGAAGTAAGTCATGCAAAACAAAGACTACATATCCCATTTTTTGCCATTGTCACATGAATACAGCTCTAAGTGCAAGAAATTTTCATGTAAGATGCTAATGAATTTCCTAGGAACCTAGCTTCAGAAAACCTGCAAAACATCTGTTCAGTTTCAATGAGACTTGAACACACTGGGTACCCTCTTGAGAACTCCTGATATATCTTTGGCATGGCTAAGAGGGAAGAAGAGCAAAATGGAAGGAGTCGGCTAGACTGCTAAATATTTTTATACGCTTGTTTTAAAATACTAAACCTTTGGTGAGTTATGAAAAAAAAGTGGTGTTGTGGCCTGCCCTGAACTGGAAATTTTCAGAGCTCATTGATACAAAAAAATCTCAGGAGTTATTGGCATCCACATTGGACCTATTCCTTACCTGGACAATGCTGTGCCATAGGAAAGTTTCCCATCATGTCTAATATATAAAAGTCCACCATGCCATCCCACAATTAAATGATAGAAAATCACACATGTACAATTGATAGTAAGAGCCTACAAGTTTCCATTCCTAGAGAAGAAAAAGTAATGTGATTTTCATGTGTTCTGTGCCTTTTTCTTTAGCCATAGAACAGATGACCAAAAAAAAAAGTAAAAAAAAAATTAAAAAATAAAAGACCACCAGGAAGTCAGAAGATCCAGCAGTGAGTGCTCTCAAAGGACCTTAAGCTACTGAGGTTTTTGACAATATAAGAGCAGTAAGGTGTCAAGGCTCTGGAGGTCTGGTCTGGTCATATCGTGGATAGGTTCTGTTTGGCTCCAAATAGGCACTTAGGAAAACATCTGTATGTTTGAAAATGGCATAAAGCATTTGGCAATACCCAGAATATTTCCAGTATAAATACTGAT